TGAAATGCTTCTGCCAAAGGAAAAAAATAGCCACTTGCTATTCTTGTCCTAGGCGAGGAAGAATCTTGTCAAAGATTTTGATCTGTTGTCAAGGCAGATCTCCCTTTTCTTACCGCTGATCGCACACGCTCTGATACCAATTGTTAGAAAACTGATAGGAAGAACAGATTGGTATGCAGAATAGAATTTTTATTGATTGTGAATTACATACAGGAATGCTATGTTCCTGGAATATTTATTGACATCAACCAACACAACTATTGACACTAATCAACACATCTATTACTAACTAATACAACTTCCAGAAAATAACTACCCATAACTGCCTCTTTTAGAAACTGCTGTTTTTTATTTAAATTAATTAAATATGTAAAACACACTAAACGACACCACACTAATTGACTCTATACTAACTGACCCGAACATTGACTCATTACCCATTCGGTTATATGTGAACAAACCCGATTAAAGGCCTCTCTAAGGGCAAGAGCAAAGTAATCAAAAAGTTTTTCACCTTAAGAACCTCGCTGATTAACTCCGTTGATTTTTCCTTTTGAAATAAAGAAATTAAGGGCTTTTGTTACTTTAGCATACACCACATATTCTGAGGATGCATGGCCAGCACCAAGTTCTATGCCGAAAAATACCTGACTGATATTGCCAATATCTGCAGCAACATGGCTTAAATTTTCCCACATCTGCCAGCTGTCTCGCCTGCATCATGTTGCAAAGTAGAAGAAATAGTATTCCAAATAAATCCATAGAAACAAGTGATGCATGGAAAGAAGTTTAAAAGAGTGCAAAGCATGCAAAATCACTTGAACTTCAGTGCTTCCTTAAAAGCAATAAAAGACTCCTTGTTTCTCTTCTTGACCATGTGCCTGCATAAGTGCATCATTTGTCATTTGAAATTCATAAATAGAAACTGAGTAGTATCTTTTAGGTGAAAGACAAATAAATTCTATAAGCAAGACACTTATTGATGGCAGCAAGTTATATTTGAGCAAACACAAATCAAGGTCTCATGCAATCTCGCCAATTATATGTCTGTGTTTCATAAGATACACAAGAGTCGACAACAACAAGCCCAGTAGAATCCAAACTTTATTGGGGTTTAGAAGGTCAAAACGTATGTAACCTGACCTCTGTATTAAAACAGAGTGGTTGTTTTCATTAGACATAGACCCTTGAATCCTTGATGCGTTGCTGCATTTACTACCCAAAACCTCATGTATAAAACCTGCCCAGGATACCAACCAATTAAATAATATGATGTTCGCAACTCCGTGTAAAGTTCATGACTGTCTTATGACAATTCGACCTTGAATGAAAAAGGTGATTTGTTTTAAAATGACACCACATTGATACACAGTGTGGCATCATGTATACATGTTTCTTTTCAAAATAAAAAGAAAAGTACACACGCTTCTTTTCAGAAAACCCTAGCTCAGTTTTCCCTTTATCATTAGCAAATCAAGATGCCATATACTCCCTCCGTCCCAGAGTATTTGTCCACTTTCATTTTTACACACAATCCAATACACTTCTGTAATCCATTTTATCTTGTAATTTGTATATTAAAAAAATTATAGAAATTATATATTAATAATCTATATGTTAAGACAAATCAAACAAGATCACACATGACTATATTTAGGCTTACACATTGAGAAGAATTTGATGAGTCAAAGTGCTTAGATGAACAGTTCCAAAAGTCAAAAGTGGACGAATATAGCGGGACGGAGGTAGTATCTATTTCCGATGAGTCAAAACGTAAAAACCTATTGGCAGAAATGAACAAAACTGTGGAACAGAGTTTAATGATTGAAAATTGAAATTTCAATAAAAGAATTTTATTGGATAAACAGGCTGTAAATATTGCTTCTAAAAGATCCATAACAATGAGGAAAAAACATACAAACATGCAATATTATTCCAAGCTTCTCCATTTTCAGGATCAAGCTGAACAGCACGTGTAAATCCGTCAAGCGCTTTATCCACATCCTTAGCCTGTATGATTCCAAAATATAAAAAGGACTGTGTAAAAAATCTCTTGTTGATGGCAGGTAGAAAAGAAAAGGAGCACTTTTTCATGATAACTCTTCACATATCAGGTGTTGAAAATCTGCATGGGCTAGGATTTAAATATATAGGTCGGGAGAGAAATGTTGCTATTAAACGTAGTCAAAACATTTATTGGAAACCTTTAATGCTGCGGCGCCTAATGCAAACCATCCATCGGGATACATGGAATTCATTCTCATTGCAGACTCCCTACATCACAAATAAATTATCAGGAAAGAGTTCTCGCCTAAAAATATATGGACTCAAATTGCAGAAAGGAGCACTGTGTTGTGTACCATAGGGCTTTTGACCTCTCATAGTCCCCCCTATTATATGCACTACGAGCAAGAGAGCGCTGTGGCAAAAACTCTTCTTTTGTTAGTAAAGAATTCAAAATTCAAATAACAAAAATAGAGAAAAACATGGAAAATAAAATTCAACTAATCAGATCACCAGTGCTCGAGCAGACTTGTTCCCAGAAACTTCTTGGGCTTTCTCATAGCACGCATCATCATTTGTAACATCACCTAAAGAGCACCTAGAAATAGCACAGATAACAAGAAGGCTACGATATACATCACTACAAGAAATTAAAGAGACTCAAGTACGATGATCCATACAACTGAACATAATAAAACATAAGCGTAAATACATACCACATAGATTCAAAAAAACGTTCAGAGATATAAATAATGGAAACCAAATCCTTATACAATTTATTGGAGCAATACGTTTCGTGATATATGAAGCATGCACATACTAACAACATAATAAAGAAAGTAGCATCATAACAATATCTTTAATCACATCATATTCATAGAATACCAAGGAAATCGGCTTTACACAAGGAAAAGAAAATTTGAAAGTGACAAGTATATTTCAATGTACCATAGCCTTGGGTCAGATGGCCTATCAGATAACCTTGCCTTGATGAGTTCCACAGCTGCTGCCTTCTTCTCCATAAGCCTGCCAGATGCATAACGTGTTTTCAGGTAGAACCTCAGCATTTCTCGAAAAGCCAAACTTAAGCACACAGAAATATATGGTTTTAGGTTTAGCTGCTACTTGTAACAATATATTAAATTATCCCAAAGCTCAAGGTCCTCATATATTTTGACAGCTTCCCCAACCAAGCCACAGCTTACTAGCAAATCACCAAACTCCCTGCAAAAGAACAAAATGAAATGTTGATACCGTACTAGAAATGTACTCCCTCTGTCCCAAAATTATTGTCCTATTTACTGTGCCAGGTTCCCAATAACTTGTTTGTGTGTGTCTTTTCATTGATCATTTGATTAAATAAAATAGACATACCACCACTTGTTTTGTAGAAGTTTTGTTGTAGTTTTTAAATATGTAATTTTTACTTTTTATATTTATACCAATTTGTAAATAAAATCATTTTAAAAGAGATGGGATCCTACACGTTGTTCAAAGCAAGATGATAATTTTGGGACAGAGGGGGTAGTGAAACATAATTTAAAACTAAAAACAGGACAATATCGAGCATAAGAATGCACTTCTACATGCAGAAACAATATTTGAGAAAATAATGATTGTGCTAAATCAAAAATAACAAAAGCAAATACAGCAAGCATACTTGCGCAATGCAGGAAGGGTAGGAACTTTAGCTCCAAAGCAAAATGGCATCCTCTGTGAAACTACAGGTGAAGAATCATGTATACTTTGAACCTGAAATGCTAGGGGAAAAACACTCAAAAGATATAGAGGTAACTAAAGAGATTATCCTGGTCATAATAAATATGGATCTCAAAGGAACTTATAGCTACAAAAAAGTTTACACGTGAAAGCTAGTTCTACTCTTACTTATCCTCCATCAAGTATAAGGTAAGAATATAAAACACAATACATTTAGACCATGTACTTTTTGGATGGATAAATGAAGTTGGGTGTTGGAAAGAATTGAAAGAAGTTGGAAAGAACTAGATGAAACTAGAAAGAGTTGGAAAGAACTAGAAAAAGTTGGAAGGAGTTTGAAAGCATAAGGAGTTGGAAAAATTATTCCCTTTCAATTATCCCATTTTCCTTTTCCGGCTGCCCTGAATTTATGATATCATTTCCTCTTATGGAAATTATTGTGTGGGTCACATGAATTATCTCTTTTACAAAAATTTGAAACATACAATTTCACCTTTCTTAAACTTTGTGCAAAAAGAAAATATGAACATTAAATTGGGACAAAAAAAATAATGTAATTTTTAATTTCATACCTTTGTATTAAATAACTTTTAACATTTTTATTAATATTAATTTAAAATGAACCTAATGAAATGTAATATTTTACTATTACACAACCAAAAAAACCTTATATCCCAATTAACTTGGGTAGAATACATAAATTATGAGGAGAAACATGTTTGGTCAATCACACAATTTTTCTCTCACCATTTGTTTATATCCATTAACATACTCTTGTCCAAATTTAAATAAGATAACTTGCTCATAATAACCCCCTCCCACGTCTTTTAGGGGCTCCCCTTCCTCTTTTGTAGAAAGCATTTATCCACCCCTCAAGTTAAGTTCTTTAAATGATGCATCACTATGTCTTCTATGTAAGTTTGTATGTGTCCAAACCATCGCAATTGATTCTCTTAATTATCTTCAATAGATGCTATTTCCCCATCCTTTGATGATTTTTTAATTTTAACCATCCTAGTGCCCACACATCCATCATAATATGCGCTTGAGTGTCTAGTGGGGAGGGTGACACCATGGGGTATACCATGTTAGATTTAATTGGGTTTGTTTGCATATGACTGAATGGGTTATCGGTCAACGTTTGGGTAACTTGGTATAGAGCCAGTTAATACGAAGTCGGTTAGTATGGAGTGGGTTAGTGTTTGTTTCATATTTAATTAATTAAAAATAAAAAAACAGTTAGGCAGTTTTAAAAGATAGGTCCTGGTAGTTTCTAAGAGTTGTGTTGGTTTGTTCTCTATTTATATTTAGAGAATACAAAGAATCCTGTACAGTTCACAATAACAAAAAATTCTTATACTTTGCTTTGATCAGATCCTGTCTAACAATAGGTATCGGAGCAGTCTAATTTGCGTTCAAGGGGTGGTGATCGGGAGAAAAAGGGCTGCCAGATCATAAAACTAAGCGTTAGAGACTTCCTTGACAACATATCAAGAATCTTCGACCAGATTCTTCCTCGCTCAGGACAATAATAGAAAGTGGCTAGTTTTTTTCTTTGGCAGAAGTATTCCAACCAAACAGCGCGGGAAAAACACATTAGCAGGGTAGCTTTTGTTTAGAAGCTTGGAAGATGGAAAAGCAGGGGGCTTGTTTTCTAGTTGATGGTCGATTGCATGTGGCTTACGATCCGAGAAGGAATCAAAGTCTAAGAATTTTTTTGAAAATTGTCGAAGGAATAAAAGTCATGCAATGTGAGACAACCCAAACAGACAGATTGTGACTACAAGGGAGAATAATTCACTATCTTTTCAGGTCCCAATTCTAACTGCTACAAACTACACTATTTGGTCCGTGAAGATCAAAATCATTTTCAATGTTAATGGGATTTGGGAGGTGATGGAACCGGGAACAGAAATCGATCCAAGGAACAATATGGCGATAGCATATCTGTTTCAGCTTTGCCGGAAGAGATCGTGTTAAAAGTTGCTCAGTTTACCGAAGCTAAAGAACTTTGGGATGCGCTGAAGACTCGCTTTGTTGGTGTTGACAGGGTTAAAGAGGTGCGATTACAGACACTAGAATCAGATTTTGAGCCTCTGAAGATGAAGAAGTGAAGAACAATGAGTCACTTGATGATTTTTCTGGTAAGATTAGTCAACTTGCAACATATGCAAGCAACCTTGGGTCTGCATTTGAAGACAAAAGATTGGTTCGAAAGCTTTTACAAAAGTTCATACATATTGTTGCTGCAATTGAACAGTTTGCCAACATCAACACAATGCCGTTTCAAGAAATGGTTGGAGATGTTAGGGGTCACATAGCAGAGGAGACCGGTGGTGGAAAAGGGTTTAAGGAAAAGTTGAAGCCATGAAAGCGGCCTACAAGAAGCTCACGGGGAGTAGTGATGAGGAGGATAAGAAGGTAAAACAAGAGACTATAAGATTGCACAGGAAAAAAAACTAAGTTGGCGGTTATGGCACTGAAGAATGCAACTTTTGGACGACTTTAATAAGGGCCTAGAAGAGAGAGGAGGGGAGGTAAATTTGTTTCGGCTCGCTAAGATGCGAGAGAGGAAGGAATGAACTTTAGACCACGTGAGGTGCATGAAAGACGAATTAGAAAAGAGGAGGCGGCAAAATCCATTAGCATAATGAAGGGATATGGGAGCGGGGGAGAGCTTTGGGACAAGACGAGATCTCCATGGATTTTTGGAAGATTGTGAGTAGGGATAGGTTGGTGCAGATCAGATCATAGAGGTTCCTATTATATCGCGGGGCTTGACTAAAGTTAATTTAAACATAGAAATATTTGATATAATTATAAACTTAGAAAATACACTAAAAGTTCTATTAAGGATCCATTCGGAAAAATAGAAAATGGTTTCTGAACAATGACTTCAAGAAAATAAATTCACTTTCTGGTGTTTGATGTGACACGAGAGGGACTTAATGATAAGTTGGAGTTATGATGACTTTCCTTAGAATGCAAGGTTGCAAGCTCAGCAGGACAATGACCGAATACATGGAATGTTGCTTCAGTGGTTGAGTGATGGAATTAGATGTGGAAGTTAACTCCAGTGCCTAAGATCATTCAGGCTAATGAGTAGATAAAGAGGGATGTTGCTCACCGTATTGGAGCTGCTTGGACCAAGTGGATGTTGGTGCCTCAAGGGTACTACAGGAAGTGAGGAAGATTTCGGCAAGGAAGAAAGGGATGTTTTACAAGTCTGTCATGCTGAGCGGTTAAGAAAACTCACATTTGCCAACTACAAGTTGCAGAGATGCAGATGCTACAATGGATGTGTGAGCAGACAAGGTTGGATATGATTCGGAACGAGGTTATCCGGGAATGGGTGGGTGTGACTTTTGTGGAGGATAAGTTGCGAGAAGCTAGGTTGAGGTGGTTTGGGCATGTGGAACAACAGAGTGATGAGGCCACGGTGTGGAGATTTGAAGGGTTTTCAGTGATGGGAGGGAATGTGGGAAAGGGTGGACCTAAGAAGAGTTGCATGGAGGTAGTTAAACATGACCTTAGACTTTTGGCTCTTACCGAGGATATGACCTTAGACTTTTGGCTCTTACCGAGGATATGACCTTAGACAGGAACATTTGGAAATATATGACTAGAATAGTTGGGTAGGAGTTTGAGTCTTCTGTGCTTATTGATGTGTACTTTAGGCTTTTGTCTAACTTTAGCTTGCTTTATGCTTCTAGGTTTCCCATTTTACTTGACTCATATTTTATAGAACAGACAAACACCTAAAAATGGGAAAATGATTTCCGAAAGTGATTTATTCTCTTTTCAAACGGACTCTAAACTCCAGAAGCTGGATGTTATAAAAATTTGATAGGGAAAAGAAGGTATAGTTGATCACATGAATAGTTTAAAGAACAAATAAAATAGGATAGTGCACAATTTTTTTATATGTTACTGGTATTCAAGACGAAACATTACCTATTAAGGTTCTGTTCTTTTAAGTTGGAATTTCAAAGTTGGATGTTGGAAAAACTGGAAGGAGTTGGAAAAAACTTGACAGAGTTGGAAAATGTTGGAAAAATTAAAGTGCTAAAAGGTCACTAAACTAAATGATCACCCAAATAAACATGTAAGAAAACTCTAATTTTAGATAAAAAATGAATTCATTCTTGTCTGTGTTTGAGGTGGTATGTTATAAATTTGGATATATAATGTTATTTTATATTCATCATATATAAATACTTTTTTAAAGTTGTTGGAAGAAACTAGGAGTTGGAAGTTAATTTTTCCAACCCAAAAGAACAAGGCCTAAGTGCAATTGCACAGTACAGTAAAAAAAGAAAAGACAATGATTTAAGGGTAACCATCATAAAAGGCCATTACGTAATACAATTAGATTAAGGTGGACGTCTTACCAATTTATCCATCATCAGCAATGAGCGTTGTTTTGTGCGACTACGAGTTGATTCCCAATGGATACGAGATATGTCACAGAGATATTGAATCTGAGTGAAAAAAAGGATCTCAATTCCGCCATAATCAAATAAATCTAGTTATTCCACCCAATCAGCATGAACAAAAAACTACCAAAGGGAGGGGAAAATACTCCTCTGAAGAATACAAAAATATTGACATCAAATACCATGAAGGGTGATGACTGTTGGGAATTAATTGCCTCTATATATGGAGCCACTTCCCACCCTGCATAAGAAATGTGAGCATATGAAAACTACATTTAGTAAAAGAATGTCGCTCACTTGCTTCTTTGACTGCCATGAATTGAAAGTCAAAGACTTATTGCAATCATGTAGCTTACTTTGCAATTCATCATTCCGAGCACTCCTCTCTTTAAAATGACAATGTGCCAAAACTACTGCTTGTTGGACAGACTTTAATCGGCTAGTAGCAATACTGCAATTCGCATAAGAAGTCTTGACATCCTCCACAAACCTTGGTGTCATTAATATATCAGATGCTTCAGACATTTCATCTGATTGTGGATGTTGAACATATTCACCAGCAACTGATGCACTAGTCTCCAACTCATGCCCTTGCTGAGCACCCTTCTCACCACCATTAGTGCTTCCAACAAGAACTAATTGGGCCTTTGGTTCAACCTGTATTCAAGATTCATATGGGTGAAGAGCAATAGAGCTATGGTTATGTAACATAAACAGTTTTATTGCATTACCATTACAATAATTATACTCAAAATTGGATTTCATTGTTCTTTCATTCCCATAGTTACCAAATGTTTATCATCAGTAATCACCTTATCAGTGTCGTTATATTGTTAGATTTTGGGTAAACTCATATGGGTGAAGAGAAATAAAGCTATGGTTATGTAAGGGTGTTAATGCACACCCTCGTTTGTAGCTAGAGAGAATATCAACCGTGAGAACAAAGATAAAAAGAAGGTGCAGTACTCTGGCAATTAATTCCGACTTCCAAACAAGCTTGTCCTTACCAGAGATTTAGATGGCAAGTGGTGTGTGCCGGCATCATCTGACCCTAAGGGCACCCCCAATGGGAGTCTTGAGGGAGTCTGAAGGAGATCTAAGACTCTCTTATCCGGACTCTACCATTGGGGAGCACAGAAAAAAGGGAAAGTCTGGTACGGAGTCTTTGAATTCACTGACTCACTCTCAAGACTGCCAACTAAATTCATCCAATAAAAATCACACAGTCACACGTGTAATCAATAAAGATTATTTTTTGAAAATAAAAATTAGTAACAATTATTTTGTAATAAAAAACCTATTCATCGATTATGTATACTTATATAATTTTATTTTGTTATGCTTTTATTTTTATTTTATGCAATTTTATATTTAAAATTTTTATGTTTGGCATTCTCTTAAGGATCAACCAAAGTAATTGCAATTCAAATTGGAAGTTGCAAAACAATCGAAGCAACTAAATTGACAAAATCAAAGCGACAAAATAGGGATTTTCAAGGTTCCAATTCTCTTCTTTTTACTATCGACGATTCCTTGCAATTTTGCGATTGCATGATCCAGATCGGCGATTCTTCCGACCCGAAGGATTTTTGCAAATTTGAGGGCGAGTTGGATCGGAAATCCCATGGCGATCTCTTGAATCATAAAATCATACGACCCGGATTGCGATTTTAACTACTATGCGTGTAAAGCCTTCTTAAACCCGTGTAAACTAAGCCCAACTTTTTCATAATCTTTTTTACTAAAATCCCAACTACTTCATTTCCCCTTGCTTCTATGGGGAATTGAACCCGGTGAGACGATGATGAATTCTAAACTTAGTGTTTCCTCCACCAAACAACAAAATACAACTAAATAACTAGGACTAGAATGGAGAAGGTTATTAAAAAAAACCGCTAAAAACATTAGGGCAACCGGCAACGTCCTCGTCAGTGTTTAGTAATTTTTATTATTCTCCATAATAAAGAACAATCACTTGCATCTATTTAACAGAGAAGGTTAAAAAAATACCAAAGAAACCAAAAACATAATTATATCATAATTAATACTCCCTCCGTCCCACAAAACATTTCCTGTTTGAAAAAAATGCGGGCTTTAAAAATGAATAATTATATTGTTATTTTCTAATTTTGCCCTTACTTTATAATAGGATAGGATATGATGTGAATGATAGAAAATTAAAAATTAGAAAATAATAGCACAATTTCATATTTTTAAAGCCTGTTTCATTTCAAACAGGAATGTTTTGTGCTGGGGGACTATAAGCAAAAAGTATGACTATTTTTTAATTATTATAAAACTTATGTTATATACTATTGAAAATCATAAAACAAAAAACTAAAAGCTCAAATTGATACCGAACAAGGCCTTGCTAAAGATACTAATCCTATTAAACGAAAGAAACCCCATAATAATATGAATCCTACTCATCCAAAAAAACAATTAAAATGAATGCTGTAAGGTGCTGGCATTAGGGTTCTCTCCAATTAGCCACATAAAATTATGAAAAGTACTGCAAACTATCAGTGAAAGTTCAGCAGTCCAATTGGGTTGAAGATTTGATGTATATTATTCCTATTCTTATTGTAATCTAAGGGGCCTTCAAGCTGCTCTAGAGATGCCTTAGATTAGCACATCTCTAGCCTATAAATCAGCAACATTGCACACGTAAACCCGACACATTTAATACCTATTCTGCACAAACCTATCAAGGAACCAACTCAACCAAAAGCTCAAGCTTGTGGTTGTTTCCCAGGAAATGCTTTGTAAATGCTTTGTATACTCCTACACGCCCCCTCACGTGCAGGCGTAGTCTTTTCAAGCCTTGCATGTGAAACCTTAATTTTAAAAAAATGGGTGACGCTGAGTTTCGAACCCGTGACTTCTTAATCATCAATGCTCTGATACCATGTCACGGAACCAACTAAACCAAAAGCTCAAGCTTGTGGTTGTGGCCCAAGAAAGGTTTTTTATATTCTAACAAAACCTAGCCACTTTTATTTTTTACCAAGGTGCCTCTATGTAATGACGATGCGTTAAAACCTCAATCATATTACTTTTTCCCTTAATCATTTTAAACTCTTCTAGCCTTAGCCTTTTACTTTTTGTTTCAGAAATCAACAGTACCACGGCTTCAAGGCGGTATTAAGCATTTTGTTGTACGTTCAGTCATTCACAACTTTTTGTTCCTTGAAGATAATGTTTTAGTTGGTAGAGAAACTGTTGCTCCAGTTGCTTTGTAATATCGCATAATTGCAATAGGAAGCTTGAGGTCTTATTCAATCAGTGTATACCTGATGTACAGTTCGAAAGCCCATGGCCCCACTCAAAGAAAATTGAAGTCCAGATGCTTCCGCTGCTGATTCAAGATACAGTCTGGAATATGAATTCTCTTAGTACTCATGTCAATCAGTATGGTGAAAGAAGCAAATAGATATAGATGTGTGGATAAGATAAAGAAACAGCAGTGCATGTTCACTTTCATATACTAGAAGAAGCTATTGAAGTCTCAATTCTCAACATCTCAAACTTACACGCATTGATGCAACTTAACTTCTTCCAAACAACTGTAATTTGAAGACTAAAAAATGCAAAGAAATATAACTTCCTCCTCCATAGTGAAGATATTCAACTTAGTAGGTCCAGAGTATATTCACTTCTGAGAAATCCCTTAGATTAGTTAGATAACACACTTCTATTAATAAAATGTTAAAGGACAGAACTGTAAACTAAATAAACAAGCTGAGGATACTTCTGTACAGAAAAAATGGAAACTCAAACTCAGTTTGGAATTTTCCCATGCTATACGGAAGAAGAAATCTCACTTAGGAATGATAAGTACAGTAAACGATGTAACTTGAGATTCCTCAGTCTGGCTCAAAAGAAAAAAGTCTCCTTAGAAATAATATGAGGATTTCTTCTAAAACTATCTACTTCTGAACTAAATATTGTAACAATTTGATAGCCAAAGCATATAAGTACAATAACTCACTGAGAAGAATCAATCCGCCCATAGGTAAGTTCCATGATTCCGGCCTCTAAATGAAGAGCTGATACAATAGTAGAAGCATCATCATTTGTGATCTGAGTAACCCAATAATCTCTGACCTTTTCTGATGTACCAAACTGATCCAAACTCTCAAGAGTATAGACTTGTAGGAGATCAAACAGTGTCGAAGAACGATCATCTAACAATTTCTGATGGAAGAAAAGCAACCTAGCCAACCACCACGATATGCTTTTCACTTCAGAAGACAAGTTGCCTTCTGCCAAAAGATCTTTTGTCCTCAAAAGCAGGATCTTTGCAAAAACTATATACTACAGCAAAACAAAGATTCAACTTGGGAATAAAAGCGCATGTTGAATCATCAATTTATGCTTAATATAGCAGAAAACTTGACAACAATGAGTCAAAAAAGAAATAACTATGGTGAATCAGGATGAAATTACTCTGATATTGAGTATCACAATTAATTGGATAATGGGGCCGGCTCACTCTAAAATTCATTCTTTTTTCTTTTTAATCTTTCTATAACTGTGCAAACAAGATTTTATTACTACGGGAAAGACGTATAGTAAGTCAGCAACAGGTGTTAGCCAACTATTACCTGAGTATTAGAATATTTAGCCCCTAAGTCCGAACCTACTGAAATCAACTCCTTTTGTACCCATGTCTCCCATTCCATCCATCTTCCACTATCACTGATCTCTCCTTCATGAGGAATGAGTGCAACTAAAGGCATATGTGGAAACTTCTCTACTGGACTGAATGCATAGCACGCAATCAATAAATGAATGCAGAGAAACTAATAGCAAAAACAACTCTTAAAAAAAGATGAATTCTTTTCCGCAGTATAGTTGAAACTGTGACTGACCCAGTAGTGTTGCACTGAACAAAAGCAAGAAGAGATGCAACCGCAGCAGACAAAACAACAAGAGCCTTAAATATTCTATCAAAGCTCGACCCATCCGATTGTCCACCCCCATTACTGTTGAAGAATGAAGTCACACACTCTGGCACGAACTCGGAGTAGAATTGCTGAGCGGACTCAGCGGAATTTGTGAATTGGGGCTGAAATTGAGAGTTGGAGAAGGCAGAAAGCACGGAGGGAGAGGAGAGCGCCTTGATGTACTGCCCGGATTCGATCAACTGAATAACCTGATCGAGCAAGAGATGAGAATGAGTTAATAGAGGTAGAGAATCAGTCGGCGGATCCGGAGAGGAATGTGGGTTGTCCAATGATAGACTGCAACGTAGAAGACGGAGCTCGAAAGAGCGAGCATGGCAGACGATTTCCTCATGAAAATGAGCAGCCATGGAGCAGAGGTTTAGAAGGTGGAAGGGAAGCCTAGGCGGGCTTTGTAACACCGGAGTGGACGAGAAAGAATTGAAATTTTTATAGAGCCGGTTAAGATATGGGGTTTCCACCTGCCAAAATAGGGAATATATAGGTTCGGATATGTACAAGTTACATTCTAGTAAACTTTTTTTACAAAAGTAAATTATAATTTTGAATCAACGTACTGAACGTTAGAGGTGCATACAAATCAAATAAAATATATTCGATTCGTGATTCGTATTCAAAAATGATAATTTGTATTCGCTATATTCGAATTCGAATCCGAATAGGAATCGTATTTTAGATTCGAATTATATTCGAATCCGAATACAAATATTAATAGATTCGATTCGTTTATTATTCAAATTATTCGAATATTACTCCCTCTCCACCATAGATCTTCCCAGACACTATTCACAAGGTCAAACTGTACTTACTTTGTTTGCTCATTTTTACTAGTCATTTCGTAAAATAATATAGTCTTGTCACCTCTAGTTTTGTAGAACTTTTCATATAGTTTATTACTATATAAATTTTGATTTATAATTTTACTCCTATAATCAATTAAATTAAATTGAAAATAAAGTCGGTCAAGCCTCGTAACGCGTAACGGGAAGAACTTAGGTAGACGGAGGGAGTATAATTTATAAATAAATTTATATATATTCTAATATATTAAATATTTGTGTACATATGTTAACATATTTTAATATATTAAATTTTTGTGTACATATAAATTTATATAACATATTTTTACTACATTTTACATTATTATTAAATAATAATTTAATGTCTTTACGAAATCTATTTTTTAAAAAATCTAATATTTTCGAATTCGAATATTCGAATACGAATTCAAATACGTCAAATATCTATCGAATCGAATACGAATATTTTTTAAAATTCGAATTATATACGAATCCGAATTTGAATACATATCACTTTAATCGAATACGGATTGAATAGTGATATATTTTCTTCGATTCGATTCATATACACCCCTACTAAACGTAGCATTATTAAACTTTATTTTCACAAATTTGTTCATTAAAATTGTAATATTCATTTACGAACAATGTTTTGTTCATTCTGGAAATAACATAATATTCATTCTAAGTCTGCTCATCTAAAAGTAATTGAATATTCATTATCAAGAAAATTAATATTTATTTTTGAGTAACTGAATACTCAATTTTCTAAAATTCAATTATGCTCTAAAATGGATACTCTGTTACTCGAAAATGAGCATTCAATTACTCGAAAATAAGTATTCATGTGAATGTACGAGAAACATTGTACATTCGGATATATGGTCTACATACACGGCAATGGCAAATAATAAATGGAATCTCACACGCTGACATGACACTTCTAAACTACAGAGTAAAAATGAGCTCAAAGTCTGGGTGGCATTCCGTGCACTGATAAACTATATTTTTTATAACATTTTATATTTGGTGGTGGTTATCAATTCTTCAACATAAAACATAAATCAGGAATTAAATCATACGAATTTGATAAGCCTGTGAACGTTGTTAGAGATGAAACCATGATTATGATGATGATTGAATTCTTGTTTATTAGGGTGTATTACTAAGATCGTAGAGGTGAGGTTTGAATGTTTGATACTCACGAGAGAGAGAGGAGGCGTAAAGATTGGTGAGAATGAGATAGAGAAATGAGAATGAATCTGATATGCTCATCTTGATCCGCATCCAATGTAACGTATAAGGGCTAGATTGTATTTTCGACTCTCTATCCCATGTCTCTCGCTTTTTGTTTCCATCTTCCGTCTCTCTCGCGATTTCAACAGCCCAAAGAATCAGCGGCACTTTATCTCTTTCCTTCTTGAAATGGCAAAATACTACAACCTTCTTCATCACTTCCGACCGCACACACACGCAATATTCATTTGTTCTGATCACTATCCCACAACATCGGCATCATAGATCAGTGGATTCCATCTTCTGATTTCATCTTTATGGATTCAGATTCGGTTTCTTATTAATCTACTATTAATCGCACAAAATAATTCCAACTCATTAGATGTATTTGCACTTTCTTACATAACAACTTATTTTTCATCCCTTCACTACACCTACACCCAGACTATGATTCATCGACGGATCAATACAGTCAATCCTTATGCAATCTGGGATTCGCTCCTCCATGCCCAGAAAGCTCCAAACCAAGGCTGGGTATGCTTTTTAGAAATTTAGAGGATGGAATTTCTTCTTACATGGAATATGCAGCATTGGTTGGCTTTGATGCATGAAAAAGCATGACAACGAAGTCTCTAGATGGTGTCATTATCTGGCAGTATGTTGTTTGTAATGAAGAGGGTCAAAAGAATGTTTCCATCACTTCTAGGCCACCTATTCAAGAAGCTGCATATTCTATTCCCAAAAAAAAAGATGCATATCAAACCACGTAGGATGCAAAGCACGAGTAATATTTAGATTATTTGGGACAGCCGGGTATTCCACCATTTCCTTTAAAGAATGCCACAATCATTGCTTTCTGCACCTTCCAAGCCTTTCTTAAAAGTAAATAGAAATTTTGATCTTGGACACAAAAATTTCATGTTGAATTGTGCTAAGGCTAATATTGTAACAATGAAGTCTTACCGCCTTTTCAAAAGAGTCTGTAGGTGGTTACGACAATATTAGAGCCACGGTTGTTGGCTTTAAGAATTTTAAAACGAGACATCAAAGCATACATTGTTGGGGGGATGCACAAACGGTTATCAACAAGCTTTTTATAAAACATGAAACTTGTTCTGCATTTCACTTTGAATATGATGTCGATGATAATGACCAACTGACAAGGTTATTCTGGTGTGATCTCGTCGCTAGGAAAAACTATGCCATGTTTGGTGATGTAGTCTCATTTGATGCGACTTATGTGACTAACAGGTATTTTGCAGGTTTTTAGAGCTAGCTAATGTTTTACCTGTTGGTTAGCTTAATTACCAATTGTTTTATAGAGTATTGTATCTCTTCATTCATTTCTTCCTCAAAGCAGTTCATGTATTTTATTTTCACTCTTGCCGACCATGTACAATATGATATTTGCACCCTTCACAGGAGTAGATAATCATCGAAAATGTATCACATTCGCAGTTGGATTGATCAACAAAGAGGATGATGAATCTTATTCTTGGCTTTTCCCGTGTTTTTTAGTTTTTCTAAAAATGATTTCAGTCATATTTGGGAATAACGTTAGAGATTAATTAGCGTTAGCATTTTGAAAAGATTATTAACAAATAGCGTTTAGCATTAGCGCTTTTAAAGTCAATATGCACCGTTAAAATTTTATCCAAAATGTTAACGCTAATCGAAAACAGTATGACCAAACAAGCCTTTCATACCACTTATGTAACCAAACATAGGAAATGAGAAGTGGATTTTTTGGAAACATATTTTTCTCCAAACATAACAGATCTTAAGAGTTAAAATCCAAAATAACAAAGCCATAGAAAAACTAAAGATAAATTACAAGAAAAAAAATCGTTTAACCGAAATGCAAAGCACATGTTAAAACACTATATCCTTATCCTTAAGAGATAAAAAGCAGACTCCGAAATGCAGTAACACGATATTTAGCGGACTTGAGAGTTGAGGCGTGACATGTGGTGGAGCCGTGGTCTCACTTTTTGACAAGGTATATGTGACGTGCCAAGAGAAAAATAAAAAAAACTTTGCATGTCGAAAAACATTTAAAAAAATACGGAGTTTCTGATTCCAAAAGAAATGAATACTTATTTCCTTTTTTAATTCTTCCATTTTCAATTATTTTCTTCCTTTCCTTTTATTCATTTTTCTAAAATGATAATTACTTTTTTAAAAACTTATTAATTAAAATATATCATTTACAATATTTTTTCTGAATTTCAATTAATCTTAAAAATTACACATGAACTTTGGTGTTTAAATATTTTTTAGTAAAATAATATAGTGATATGAATTATATATTCAATCATACTACATCAAAAGATCTATAAATTATGTTATTTTCTCGAATTATTATTAAAAAAAATTAAAAAATATTTTTTAGAATTGAAAGCACCAAATTTTAATTAATTTTACTAATTTTTTTATTAGTATATGAATTTTTTTAAATAAATACTCTCTTCATCCACAAATTACTTCCGTTACGATGTCTAAATGGAATTAGTTTTAATTCATTTTATATGATAATTCATGTAAAACTAAATAATAAAAAATAGATATTCGAAAACGAGATAACATGATTGTATTATTTTCACACATGATCAACATCAAATCTCTATTATAGAGCTACGTTCTATATGGTTTGAGCCTTTGAGGGAGGGGAACGAGGTAAGAGTAGTTCTTTGCTTTGTGTGGAATTAGAGGACTCGAGCAGTTGCAAAAAAATGAACATTCATCCATAGAAAATCATTTTTTTCAAAAAAATAATTCCCTACCACTTATGTAACCAAATGTAGGAAAATTAAATTTAGATTCTCTAAAAAATATTTTTCTCTCAATAAAAAACTCTAAGAGTCAGAATCCAAAATAACAATATCTTTCAAGTATTATAGAATATAACAAAGTTTCGTTCTACCCGTTCATGGCATGGGTTAAAGTACTAGTGATAATACATTAGGAAACTCACTACGTTTTAATAGTATATAGGTAGATTTCCTTGTATTTTTAAACAAATTAAAATTAAAAATACCTAAAAAATTAATGGAGGATACAAATCTAAACCCTAAACCCTAAAAGTTAATGCAAAGAATTCTAAATGGTTAACAAGTTTATACTTTTCTAGAAATTTATCATCTTTAACAACTTAAAGTGTAATATATACTCATTTCTGCCCACAAAGTCAATCTCTTAAAAAATTGAATATAAAAAAACCTTGGCTTGTGAAAATGAAGACCTTATTAGGTGGCGGTGGTAGCGGCGCGACAATCGAAGTCAGCAGTGGTGGTACAGTAGGAGGATTGGTTGCGGAGAGGTCGGCAATGCTGGGCTCTCACGATGTTCTCTCTCTCTCTCTCTCAGCAACGATAGCCATTGTTGTTGTTTTGATCGTCAAAAGAATACCAGACTTAGAGTCCATGCAAAATTATACTTGTAACTCTCAAGTTAAAATACTAAATGTAGAAAACTCTCAGTTTTAAAAAAACATGTTATAAAGCTTACTCTTATGTCTCTTAATTATTTGCATCAATTTTATATTGAAATTTAAGACTATAAGCACTTTTTAGATACTAAGGGGCTTTTTGGCAACTTCTGAATAGGTAACTGCTGAACCAGTAAGAGGTCTGAACTATTAAGTGCTGAACCAGTAAGAAGTCTAAACGATTAAGAGCTAGTATATTGCTTAACTATTCAGAGGCAAATGTCTGATCAATTCAGATAAAAGGTCTTAACCATTCAGACTCTGTATAATACTTAACCATTCAGAGGCAAATATCTGAGCCATTCAAACATCTGAACCATTAAGAAGCTGAAACAAATAGTCTGAACGATTAAGTGCTGAACCATTCAGACATCTGAACCATTAAGAGGCTGAAACAAACAGCCCCTAAAAAAATTGTTTTTGTCTAATTTTGGCATTTAAGAAAAACCAAATTTTCCAATTGTGCGATTAAATTCCAACTATTTCCAAGCATACAAACCAACCAAAATCCATGAAATTGTGAAGGGAGAGACGTTCGCTCCCCTCCATGAGACTTGCATACAAGAGAGCACGTTCGCCACCCACCCATCATCTCCAATAAAACTCCCCCCGCCGTCAATCCCGGCCGAAGCGGCGGCAACCCTCCGTTCGTCCACCACGATGGCGGCGAAAACAGTTCCCCGAAGGCTCTCCATTGCCGCCATTCTCCTAATCCTACCTTGCCTCCTCTCGGTTGCCTCCGCCTTCAACATCACGAGGATCCTTAACCGATACCCGAACTACTCCACCTTCAACGATCTCTTGACCCGAACCGGCTTGGCCTCCGAGATCAATCGGAGGTCAACCATAACCGTCTTGGTCGTCTCCAATGACCGCATGCGGGATCTCAAGAGCCGCCCTATGGAGGCGGCGGAGAACGTGCTCCGGACCCACGTCATTTTGGACTACTTTGACCTCATGAAGCTGAACCGGCTCGAGGGTCAAACCGCTAAGCTGACTAATATGTACCAAGAGACCGGCGTGGCCGCGTATGACCAGGGGTTCCTGAACGTCACTACTGGGAACGACGGCATCTTGTTCGGCTCAGCCGTGAAGCGGGCCCTACATGACGCCCGGCTCGTGGGGTCTGTCCTGAGCCGGCCTTATAACATATCTGTGCTCAGCATCTCACACCCCATCGTGACCCCTGGCCTTGGTGGGAGCTTCCAGCCGGTGGAGGCACCACCACCTCGACCTCCTAAACCGGTGGCCCCAGCTCCGGTCCCAAGCCACAAGAAGGATGTTGTCCCTGCTCCAATTGAGGCTCCGGCGGAGGCCGATGCTCCTTCTGATGACATTGACTCCTCTGATTATAGCCCAGCCGGATCCCCGCCCGAACCGGCTGACGGACCCGAACCGGCTGACGGACCTGAACCGGCTGATGGACCGGAGGCTGCGGACGGACCGGAGGCAGATGCTGATACCCAGGATGCTTCTGAATCATCAGCTGGGAAATCTGGTGTTTCCCTTGGCGGATTCTTTTTGTTTTTGGGTGCTTTGGTGGCAGCCCTGTAACTTCTTTGGAAGGAAAACATTGGATTAAAGATTCAACAATGACTGTAAAGGGCTAACATATAATACACTTGAAAGTTGAACCCAATCTGGTTTGATTTTATCCGATTCGATCCGATGTGATTGAAGTTATATTTAAAGTTGTTTCTAACCTAATCTAGTCTGATATAATTGGATCTGACCTAATATGATGTAATTTTAATAAAAATAAGTACTCCGTAATAAATTGAAAAAATAAGTTGAACGAAATGAACCCTTAAACACTATTGAAAAAACAAATTCCAAAATAGACCTCAAACCTGTATAAAATTAAATAATCTTCAAATATTTTCACCTCATATAAACCCATCATGTATCGGTACTATACCCAACGTGAGGAAAGCGAAAACAAACTATAAACTCTTCCTAAGCTATGTTACACCAATTGTATCAAACCAACAAACAATGTAGCACAAACGCAGCCAGGGAACAGAAAAAAACAACCTTGTTTCAGGTTCTAATCTTTTCCTTGGAATCAAGTTGGTCGCAATGGCATTACTTACTATGTGCTTCGACATCGGTCATCAACTTGGGCAACCTGTTCTTCTTTTGTTGATATTTTGCACACGAGTACCACACGCCACCGGCTGTGTTGATCACAAGCCCAAAGACGTTTAACGCGTGCACTTGAACTCCTCCTAGCACCACAAAGCCTAGGGTCTGCATCACACACCCAAAGGTTTTATAAGAACTTTGGTCTCGTTGCAGCAAAGTAAATATATAAGCAAAATTGGTGTAAAGAACAATCTTCTATAAGTATTATTAGTAGATCCCTTTTTTTCTATCTTCACATTTTCTATATTCATACTTTCATTCTCTGTCCATCTCATAATCATCTCTCTCTTTTTAAAGGAATTCTGTGAATAGTAGTATTTTCTCTCTACTAAACAAAACTCAACTACACAACGTATTGAAATGTGTGCAAGCTCAATTCAAAAGAACCAAAAAAGGAATGCAGGGAGTACTTTCAGGTTTCAACTTATAAAATACCATATTTTGACAGTCTCACACGTTTTGTTATTTGCAAAAAGAGACACAAAAGGCTGAAGATTATATTATAATTTATACGCACCGTGGATCCAAGTTTCAACTTATAAATTACCATATTTTGACATCATACAGTCTCACACATGTTTTGTTTTTTCAAGTTTCAACTTATAAATTACCATTTTTTGGCATCATACAGTCTCACACATGTTTTGTTATTTGCAAAAAGAGACAAAAGGCTGAGGATTATATTATAATTTATAATTTTATACACACCGTGGATCCAAGTTTCAACTTATAAATTACCATATTTTGACATCGTACAGTCTCACACATGTTTTGTTATTTCAAGTTTCAAGTTAAAAATTACCATATTTTGGCATCATACAGTCTCACACATGTTCTGTTATATGCAAAAAGAGACACAAAAGGCTGAGGATTATATTATAATTTATACGCACCGTGGATCCAACCCCCTTGAGCACTCCAACAATTGTTGTAGTTAAGGCGGAGTTGACTATGGTGCATAAAAACATTGTGTAGTTCAAGACTATGCCCATCACAAGTGAAAGTAGAAGAATCACAAAGAAATATACCGAAGTACTCTGTTCATGGAGGAAAAAGAAAATAACTGTTTAGAATAATTTCAGAAGTTCATTATTTATCTTCCATATCAAGATAAGCAAGAATTATACTTGGTAATCCATGGAAAAACAGCATAGGAAAATAACATGAACGAGCAAGACATGTCAATGCACCACATGTGTTTAAAGGAAAAGAATAAAATTATTGTTGCAATTAAATGAAGTCATACATAAGTTTCTTGTGCCCTGCCTCAGTTCAACAACAAGAACAATAATAAAAAAGCCAACATACCCAACAAAATCACACAGAGCAGGACATGTGGAGGGCGAGTACATGAAAACCTTACCCCTACCTGTACAGTAGAGAGGCCGTTTCCATGACATATCACCAAGTGTAATGCCTCGGTTCAGAAGACAAAAAAATGCTAGGAACAGAAAAATGAGAGGAGAATAGAGACTAGAGAGGGCTGTTGGAAGGAAAGAAAAGTCAGGAAATCTAAAAATTAGTCCAAATTGAATAAATCATTATTAAATATTTGTGCAGATTCATTTTTAATGTCAATTATATAAATAGTAAGAAATCTCCATGTAAATAGAATTATAAAGAACTTATGCATATTTGATTTTCCTTCATATGGTATTTTCCAAGATAAAACCTATCATTCAAAACTCTATCTTTTGCTAACATTTTTCTGGGTTAAAGTTAAAGGAGTGGGAGATATGCAGAAAAGTTTGACCAATCCTGCAAATATCTAAAAGATATGTGATTTCAAGTCATTGCTTCAAACAATGCAATTAATCAAAATAAGGTATTAGTGATTTGTACAGTACAAGAGGTTAGAATTCAAGTTACCAATTTGGGCGCTGAACATATTGACACAAGGCAAAAAATCTAACCTTCGCAAATAATATTGACAAAGAATTTGGAAACTCTCCCGTGGCTATGATAAGGAATAATAGAAATGGTAAAGACAAAATGCTATTATAGAACATAATCTCTATTGATGAAAGCCCATCCTCTGCTCCTGACCTTTCCACTAAAACAAGGTACATGGTCTGCGCATAAAAAGAAAATGACAAATTCAGCACTCAACTGAGGCCACGAATGCTCTAAACTGTCTCCTGAAAAGCAATGAATGTCATACCTGAAAGAAAACAGAAATAAATGCCATGCTATATCCGAAAAGATCAAAAGAAAAGTCTCCCAATGCTGCAACAATAACTCCAGCAGCAGTTGTCACTACAGAAAGGGTTACCTGTAAAGAAAGGTGGGTTGGAAAAGTAACATCATATAGGAAAACATACACAGTTGAGGTGAATCAGAACAAGAAGCATGGAACTCTTATATAGGAAATTGTATTTGTCCCTGATGTGAGTCAATATTATTCTTAATTTCATTTTATCATTTATATACTGCTCTGCAATATAATATAGGGACAAGAAAGAAAGACGTAGCTTTGGTGTATAGACTCATAGGTGGGATCAAGAATTATACCCATGAATGTATGAGAAAGAGAAAGAGGATACATTCTTCATGCATCACACATCACTAATGGTCCAAGTCAGATTTCGTAAAGTATTCTCCAGTTTATATACCTATATTGTTATCTAGGTAAGTCCTAGACTTTATGCCAAGTAATAGAATGAAGCCTTTCCATTTTTAGTTGCTAAAACTCATTCAAAACACGGGATTACATTAGAACGACATAAATTTCTGATGCTCTCAAACACAATAAGTAAACTTTATATTATACTAATATACTCCATCCGTCCCATAAACATTTTATTTTTTGTTTGTCCCAAAAAAAGTTCAACTTTCCAAGTATGGAAAACTTTCTGTGGCTCATATAGTCATATTATCTCTTTCTCATCTGCACCACTTTCAACCACACAATATTACTTTTCTTAATAACCGTGCCAATTCCATTGTGGAACCTTTTTGAAGGACAGAGGGAGTATTACCCAGTGGCACCAAATATTTTCCCGGAATAGTGTAGAACCATAAGATGTGTGCTTTTTGCTCTCAAATGATTTTGTAAGAAGAATCATTTACTGGATGACATGGGTAGAATGGATGGTGTTAGTGCTAATAAGGGAAGCTTGACTGAGGTTTAGGTAACCTAAAAATAAGCTGATGATCCTTCCATAGATCTTCAAAACACTCCTGAAGCTCGCTCAAAACTACAAGAGAGATTGCATTTAGGGATGCATAGATAGTAACTGACAACTTTGAAGAGATGACCGAGCCTTGCTATGAAGGGTATGGACTAGTTTACAAGTACTTGTATCTCTTAACAGGTTTGCATTTTGAGATTACCAAAATCAAGAGTTCATGATTTCCCATATCCTCAAGTATGCAAAGAATCCATACTTGGGCTTTAAATAGTTTTTCCAACATCTAATCAGTAGTTAGTGATTTCCCATATCCTCAAACAAACGCAAAGAATCCATACTTGGACTTTAAATAGTCTTTCCATCATCTCCGATGGAGCCAAAGATTCACCATTTTTTTTGGCTTTGGGGTATGATGGAATAAAGCATAATGGCTCTTTAAACTGTCTGCGCTTCTAATAGTGAAGTAGCAGTTAGTGTGCAACTTTCGACGCTCATCATGGGTCATTCGAAAACAGCCGCTCTATGTGATTACCTGTGGTGCTTGAGTCGAGGGTCTCTTTGTTGTTGTTGTTGTTGTTGTTGATTCTATTTTTCTCAAAGTAAATGATTTTTTTTAATGCTAAAGCCAGCTTCTTTCATTTCCATCGTTTGGCCAAAACCAATTTTTAAGTGTTGAATCTTATCATTTTATTCCAGATTGTTTATTGGGAAGTAAGCCACCATAGTACGAATTCACTTGTGTCTCATTAACATATTGAGAAGCACTTGCAGTTAAGAAATTGTGTTTATTAAATATTAGTTGAAAGCTTAAATTTTCTAGGGCTCCGTAATCATTGTTCTCTGGTTCTAGAACATTACAGCTTTTTCAATATGGATGTTGGCAATGTTCGAAATGGCGTATTGTGTATATGAAGCATTTTTATTTCAAGGCGTATTGTGTAAGCTTCAAGGCATAGTGAGGCGTAAGCCTCATTTTTAAGAGTTGTGCTTCTGTAGTCCTAAGATCCACATGAGAAATGTTGACCTTCTCACACTTTTCATCGGCTTATAAGGGAAGTTTTTCTCTTTTGCAAAAAGCCCAACTCTTACATGGTATGTTTGTACTAAGGTCCATAAAATGAGTATGGACCCAAAGACCACATATGAATTTGCCCATTTTCAAAGTATTAAAAAGACCATAAAACATTATTTAAAAAGTTAAAAAAAATATAGAACATTATTAATAACATAACTAATCCATAAACATTAAAAAAGTATATGGTCAAGGTAAAAGGCCTCAAACACAACAAAGGTTAGCATGAAATACTATAAAATATTGGCCGAAGGAGAAGAGCTTAAATTGACGAATGCAAAAAAATGTTCATTGATTTTAACTTTTAAGCAATCTGTCAAGTCACCTTCAAAAATAAGGAGTATAAAATATACAAGTCTTATAGACAAATTAGTAACAAAAAAACCAATGCACACAACAAAAAAGAAAAAAAGAGATTACTATTGAAAAATCCAATAGCAGATAAGCAAAAAAAGTAACAAAATAGGGGGAAAAGGCCACACAGGAGTGATAACAAAACACATCACCTAGCTAACTTAAAAAACAATAGGGCAAGCAAGTTGCAGCATAAAAACACACCAATAGTGGGTCTTCAGAAAGTTCATAAGCAAAAAAAAAAAGATGCACCCAGTAAGCAAAAAACCTCAGCTCATAAGGAATATAAAAAAGAGAAAGAGAACACACTGTATTTGGATTTGCACTTCTGCCTAGAAAAAAAGAAGATAGACCAACACCTAGTAGACTAAGGTTACGACCGATAATCAGGTACCAAGTACAGTACATATTTTAAAAATTTGCTAATTAAATGGACAAATTTAACCTTAATCTTATAAATTTGGAGGAAAAGATTGTGTACGCCACATATGAGCCTCATTGTGTACACTGTGAGGTAGCCTCAGTCCGCAATTGCTGGGAAAACTAGATGGTGTATGGCTAGATCGCCATGAGGAGGTTCTGGCTGCAGCAGTACAACTTGTTTTTGCATAAGTTAGCAATTAGAATTATTTTTAAAGGGGAAAAGAAACACTAATGGCTGTAAAACAATCACAAAGAACCAACAACTTGAACCACTTGAATAAGAAGCAATCAAATATATATTGCATACATCTGTCTTCAGCAATCCCAAATACTAAAAAAACTTAAAAACCAGAAAGAAATCTATGATATTCAGCGTGACAGCCGTGACTCAACCATGATTTTACTACTTAGGCTCTCTACTGTGCAGGTGTGGGTATGGTTTGCACACAGCCACACACTCCCCCTCCACACCCCCCCTCCCAAAAAAAGACCCCCCCGCTATGTTGGATTCAACAAGATTTGTTGTAGTGAAATCTCAACTATGTCTGCTGACCCCACTAAAGCATATGTACATTTAAAAGATGAAACGATGTTAGAAGGCCAAAATTAACACCATAACACAGCATTACAACTTTGAGAGCTAAAAAGTGTTAAAATGTGACGTGAGAGAAGTATACAGTAAAGGAGCAAAAACAAAAGTATAAACCTGAGTTGTAGGTCTTCCTTTTCCCGAAAAGAATCCAGCTACTAATACAGAAAGTGGTGTAAGCCTTTTGATGGCAATATACATTGGAATATTTACTCCTTTCAAGCTCGCTAGTGCAAAAGCGACATTTGCATTATAGAACAAGGAAACTAGGAAAAGTTTCTTCGCAGTATCAATGTTGAACGCTCTGGCTTTAGTGTATCCNGTTAAAATGTGACGTGAGAGAAGTATACAGTAAAGGAGCAAAAACAAAAGTATAAACCTGAGTTGTAGGTCTTCCTTTTCCCGAAAAGAATCCAGCTACTAATACAGAAAGTGGTGTAAGCCTTTTGATGGCAATATACATTGGAATATTTACTCCTTTCAAGCTCGCTAGTGCAAAAGCGACATTTGCATTATAGAACAAGGAAACTAGGAAAAGTTTCTTCGCAGTATCAATGTTGAACGCTCTGGCTTTAGTGTATCCGAGTACCCTACTGAAGTGAATCAGCAAAGTTGATGCTATTTGCTAGCACCATCCAAACAGATATTTTAGAATTAAAGTATTGATCATAGAACACCCAACACATTAGGAATCACACAAGTTTACACCTGTAAAGTGAGCAGCGTCATTGATTGAGAATACTGCATTAGCACGGCCTTATTTATGAACACCATAGCCATTGAAGCAATCCCATATGCTAGTGCAGCCAGCGAACTACAATCACATATGCAGCCATCAAATCAGATTAGTAAAAAGCCCTAGTCTTCCATCCAATAACTATGGGGTGTTTGGCAAACAGCCATTAGCATACAGTTGTTAGAAGAAACACTGACTATCCGTTAGCAACTTATAAAAAAAGGATGAGCCCCATCCAGAGGCGGACCCACCTTGAGTCCTATGGGGTCCCGGGACCCCGGTGTAGGTCCATATAGGTATTAGGTTTGTAAATATGTTTAATATATAAAACACTCGTAGCGGCAAGTTACAAGAATGGCGTTTGGTTTAGTGGAAGCGCGCGCATCATCATGAAAACTCTAGAAGGCCAGAGTTCGACTCCCATCTTGGCCTTAATAGTCAGTTTTTCCTTTTTTTTAAAAGAGCATGGAGTTTATAGTCAGTTTTATCTTTTTTTTAAAAAAAAAACTAAAACGCGTAACCCCTATTTTCTCTGCAAATTTGACCTCTCTTACCCAATTCTTAATTTCGAATCCCAACCTTCGTCTTTTAGAGTCAGTTTTTTCTTTTTTTTTTCTAAAAAAAAAGAGCATGGAGTAAAACGACGTCGTTTTGCACGTAAAAATTAAAACGCGTAACCCCTATTTTCTCTACAAATTTGACCTCTCTTCCCCAATTCTCTATTTCGAATCTTTAATTTTGAACGCTAACCTTCGTCTTTTAGAGCCAGTTTTTTCTTTTTTTTAAAAAAAGAGCATGGAGTAAAACGACGTCGTTTTGCGCGTAAAATTAAAACGCGTAATCCCTATTTTCTCTACAAATTTGACCTCTCTTCCCCAATTCTCTATTTCAAATTTTTAATTTTGAACCTTAACCTTCTTCGATTCTCCATCTCTCTTTCCCGTCGCCTGCCGGCCTTTGTTCGCCATGCCGCCGAAGTTCGACCATTGTACTAAAATTAATTTTTATGGTAGTTTGAAGTTTGATATATGATTAGTAATATATAAATATATAATAATTTATATATTTATTTTTTATTCATTACTTATTCTTTAAAGAATCAAAGATTTTTCTTCAATAAAAAATTGATTTAGGATTGCAAGTGATAAGTATTATTGTATTAATGTTCATTTTATGTCTAATTTATGTAATTAATATTATTTTCGTATGACTTTATTTCTATGTATTAATTATGGTATTTTTCAAATATTAGTTTTATTTATTGTTAAATGTTAAGACTTATGAAGTAGTTTGATATGAGAATGGGAGGTAGAGGACCCCATGGTTGTAAAATCCTGGATCCGCCTCTGGCCCCATCCCCGGAGACCCAGCCAGAAGGTTACTGAGATGAGACAAATTAGACTTTCATTGCAGATTCGCGGCAAAATATGGAGTCTGGTACTTGCAGAGACCATATGCCTAGAATCAACGCCCACTGGCGTGTTAGCAGCTTATAAAAGGATATATGGTAATGAAACTAAAATGTCTATCAAAATGATATTTTCCAAAATGATGAACCTATCAGCATTTGTTCAACGCAATGCTGATTCAAATTGCTAATATACCAAACAATTCATTCTGCATATTGACCAGCCACAAATGCTGTTTTGAATAAAAAAGCGGCATAATGCTGATCGAAAAGTCATTTATCAAGAAACGCCTTATATCTATGCTGATCCGAAATGAAAGCAAACCTGGTATACTGACTTGGCTCCATCGTAACCTTCGATCGATCTTTGAGTGGTAGACTCCGAACACTTTACTGAGCAAACACAAGCACAAGCACAAACTCATATGCGGCAGGAATCGAATCCCCCGATCCGTAGATAGCAGTGCAAGGGTAATTCAAGATTTAGATGCATTACCATATAGTTTGCAGCGACTGCGTGTGATCGGATTACAGGTTTACATTGTTTGGATTGGGAAGAAAGTATACCTAGAGAGAAAGTATATGGTAGAACACATTATTAAAGTATCTACGGTAGATCGGTGTATTATCATTTGAAATAGAGTAGTACTCATTTTCGTACAAATATAATTCGCGTGGTACTCATTCTAAAATAATACAGTACTTATTTTCGCATATTGGTTCAATATAATTATAATATTCATTTTCAAATAATACAGTGTTCATTCTGAAACAAAACAATACTCATTTTCAAATAACTTAGTGTTCATTATCATGTAAAATAAAATTCATATCATAAACAATTTCTTTGTTGTACCCAAAATTGAGTACAGCCGGATGTATAATATAATTAGAAATCATCCAATATAGCACCATTAAAAAACACAAAATACATATCTAGCACTCCCATCGTCCCATTTACACTTGTATAGCACCTCCATCGTGTTACTCATGATTAATATCCCCATTTTACCCTTTGGAATTGAGTTTTATCCGTCAACTGCGCAATTTGAGAGAGTGAACCATTTCGCGCACTTCCCCTCACCTGCGTAAATTCAGGAGGGAGTTAATCATCAGCCATTACAACCTCTTCTCCATATTACGGTGCTGAACAAACAATCATGAACATCATTCCACCACCTCCAAAACCAGAGATCTGCAGGCATCGTCTTTTCCGGACACACTCTAGGGTTCAGGTTCTACAATCCAATTCCAAAGAGAAGCGAAGCATTCAAATTAATAGCTACAGAGATTCGCCGGAAGCTTTCGTCGCCCACTGCCTCAACCGGGACACTCACATTTTGTTTCAGGTTCAGTCTATATCACATCTCTGCACCATTTTATTCCATCATTGTCCCAATACTGAATTTCTGAGACTTTTTTTTGACGTTCAATGTCTAGTGTGTGTATTCAACTAATCGAATAGGTACTGCATTGTTCTTATCTACCAATGTTTTAGGTTCATTGAAAAATGTTCTGTTTTTGTTCCAGACCAGTAATATTTTTTTTGTCCATTACCAACTGGCCCAACCTAATTAAGCAATGCTGCATAAAAAAATTGATTTTTGCACTATAACAATACTGATTTATATTACCCAGCAATGCCATTCAAAATTAGTGATTTTCAATTTTATTTAATATTGGTTTACTGTAATGACATCTTGATCTATAAGGTTAATGGATAGAATTGCTAATATTAGCTGTACTTTTTTTGCACCTAAAAAAAACCACTTTCAAGGTAAAATGTTGTCCTCTGCACTTGCATTATTTTTATGGAAGCTGAATGAATATGTTAAGTATTACATGCTCAAGTACTCATTCACTTTGTCTTTTTTCCAAAAAAACATTACTTAATCACTTAAGTCAGCAGTTTTCTCAACCTATTTGACCATATCATTTTTACTGTTCAAGGCTCTGCAAACATGGATTCAAATATTAAGGTATTGGTGCGTGTTGATGGAACATGGGATACCCTTGGAAATTTCACTTCGAAGTACGACACTGTCATTCATGTCCCTAATGAATGCTCTTTAAACTCGCTCATCGACACTGTTAAAGCAGACATTCGGATGGATTGGTCTCAAAATGTTATTCGTTTCTCCTACATTGTTGCCATGTGCATACCTCCTATGGTTATTGTGGATGATGCTGAACTACTCTTTTATCTGAAGTTGAAGTGCCACAAAAGCGAGATGTCATACCTGCCATAGGAGAAAGAAGCGCGTTGCAAATGTCGTCGCAGATCTACAACAGACATTTGTTCGTTGCAGATTTCGTCGCAAATTTTGAGGTTTTTAAACAAGTGAATAGCGTCGCTGTAACACCCTAATCTGTCCAGGTCTACAGCCCCTTTCGGACTAAAGTATTAACTAGGTAATCATAAAATTTAAAACATTTCAAACACTTTTATTTATCACAATAATATTTTTCATATCATAAACAGTACAGAGTTTTCAATGAGTTTTCAATATTACGGAAGCTTAACAAATCATAATCACAAACATAATTTATTTATATTCTTTAATTCAAAACCATCACATCCATTCCGGTTATCTCGCATCCGTCTGCCTCCAGGATCACGTCACATCATTCTATTGACGTGCGTGTAGCAAATAAAACACACTACACGCTCAGCGGTAATATCTAGTGCATCAAACATCCACATAAATTGAATCTCAATTCATAATCAACCATTTGATATCATGCACATAATGTTCAGTTTAAATATTCATTATTCAGTATTCATCATTCAATATTCAACATTCAACATTCATGTTCAATATTCAACATTCAACATTCATATTCAATATTCAACATTCATATTCAACAATATCCTTAAACTATTTTAGTCTAAGGCCAATTCCATTCTTAAACTAATTCTAGTTCAGGATATTCTAATCCTTAAGCTAGGCCTAGTTTAAGATATATTTTTAAAAAGAGTTTTCAAATCTTAAACTTACCTTCGCTTAAGGTCAACCTAAAACCGATAGCGTAGTGTTCACTGTTGGGTGGGTGGTACCCCCAAACAAGTAGGTACTCAAGTTTGGTTCTTGGATCCCGTACGTACGTTTTAACCCTAGCCACCGGGCATCATACCCACAAGGCCTAACTTATATATGTATATCTTAGAGTTCTTCTAGATACCTTTCAAATCAACATTAATATGGGTATATCTTAGAGGTCTTCTAGATACCCTTAATCATTACCATAATCATCAATCAACATAATACTCAATAACAATTAGCGGCCTAGCTTCGGGTGTTAATACCCTAACATACCGTCATGCATCACATAACATTTTTTTGTTAAAAACATCACTTTTATTGTGATAAATCATTTTTATAATGATCATAATCAATTGGTATCAAAAATAGGATTTTAGAGCTCAAAAATAGCATTTTCAGGCAAATTTTCGGGTCAGAGTTTCGGAGGATCGATCCAGCCCTCTTGATCGATCCAGACTGTAAAAGAAAGCTCCAGGTGATCGATCCAATGGATATGATCGATCCACCCTGGTGTTTTTCAGCTTCTGTTCATCTTCTGCAACCTTCGGGTCAAATTTTGAAAATACCATTTTTGGTTACCAAACTTCAACGAAACTATATAGAGATGTTCTCCAAGGTTCATAGATCATTTTGGCATGATTAATTCTTAGTTTTAACATCAATTTCATGGTTTATGATTCTTGGTTCTTTAAGCATGTCAAACACAAAACTCAACCAAATGACCATTTATGAACGTAGAAACGATCTATACGAATATTCTAGTCATTAGATATATCAACGGGCTTACCTCGAAGCTTAATGGAGGTTTTGACGATATTCCGTCGAAACTTCCGGCGAGGTTTGTGGTTAGCTCCGGTGACTTCACACCAAATTGACAGCGCCACTACACTCCTTACACTCTTAGAAACACTTAGGAAGAAGTTTGAAGATGAATGGTGAAGAAATGAGAAGAATGAAGTTTCTTATATAGCAAGAGGAAGAGGAAAAAGACATGGGAAGCTGAGTTGCTGCTGCGTGGGATTCCCATTTCACGATTCATTCGGCGATAAAGAGATTCAGCACGTTACTCCCTGATTGGGACTAATTTTGGTTTATTCGGGGTACACTTTTTGGTCCAACTTTCTCCGAATTGAAATCCGTTTGCACCGTTGCGATCGTGCGATTAAACTCTATCTAACGATATAATTTTTATGATTATTCGTTATACTTTTTCCGACATCATATTTTTGGGGTTGACTTTGACAAAGTCAAAATCGGTTTAATTGACCTTTATTCAAAAAGGTTCTCACATTTAATTCATATTATTTATTTCCATGATTTATTTCAATAAATCATTTCAAAGTTCACATTATAAACAATTTCTTCATTTATTGTTAATTTGGGTCTGTACACAAGTTTCTAATCAAGACCACACAAATAGTCAACTAATTGGGTTTATCTCTATGAGAATTATCCTGATTGTGATATTGGATATCAAAACATATTTTATTTCGGCCCAAAACCCAACAACAATTTATTTTAATCAAAACAATTTGATTAATTGAATAATTATTCATTAATAATTCTAGGGTATGTTTTGGGGCGTTATAGTCGTTGATCTACGATAGATGGTTTTTAAAGGATCTCGTACCCTCGCTGACAACACGCAACAAACCAACCGATGCAAACGTAGGAGACTTCCGACTAATGCAGTGGACGCAATTTCACATTATCACCCAACCACTATTCAAGTTGATAGCATTTACAAGTCTAAGGAAGACATATGCCACAATCTCCAAATGTATGCGGTGTCGAATAGTTTTTAGTACAAGACAAAGAGGTCAAATAGGACAATGTTGCATGCTGTATGCATTGACGACCGGTGTTCATGGGCAGTTCATGCTGTTAGTCTCCATAATTCTCCATTATTTCAGACACGCAGGTAAATCCTTATTTTTTAGAGAAATTTGAATGCAAGCATAATTAAAAGAGACCCCCCTAGTGTGTTCTCAATTTTAAGAAAAAACTCAGGCATTCTGCAATCACACACTCCCCCCCCTTGCCTTATACACAGATATGCACTAGCACAGAGTACACTTCCTACATTTTTAACAAAATCAAATCACAACACATACATTGCCATTCTGCATTTCAATCCAACTTTAAACACAAATTTCAGTGCAAAACATATTACATGTACCAACTCGTAGTGGCCGTGTGGATCTACTTCACACATCCCCAGCTATTCTGTAACGCCCCAAAATATACCCTAAAATTTATTGAATTAAATATTCAATTAAACAAAATTTGTTTTGATTAAAAATAATTATTATTGGGCTTTGGGCCGATGTAAAATATGTTTTGATATCCAATATCAAAATCTGAATAAGTCTCATAGAGATAAATACAACATGTTGACTTATTGTGTGATCTTGATTGGGAACCTGAGTACATACCCAAATTAAGAATAAATGAAGAAATTGTTTATAATGTGAACTTTGAAATGATTTATTGAAATAAATCATGGAAATAAATAATATGAATTAAATGTGAGAACTTTTTTTAATAAAGGTCAATTAAACCAATTTTGACTCTGTCAAAGTCAACCACCCAAAAATATGATGTCGGGAAAAGTATAACGAATAAATATAAAAATTATATCATTGGATAGAGTTTAACTGTATGATCGCAACGGTGCTAACGGATTTCAATTCGGAGAAAGTTGGACAAAAAAGTGTACCCCGACTGGACCAAATTAGTCCCAATCATAAAACTGTAAAGACGGCGCCTCCTTCTCCACTACGCCGATCGTGAATCACAATTGACTCAGCAACCTTTGTAATATACTTCTCTTCTTCCCTATACAAGGAGAAGCAACCCTTCTAATTTCTACACCATTCTCTCTACTTCTTCTTCCATTGTGTTCTTGAGAGTGTAAGGAATATTGTGGTGCTGCCAATTTGGTGTGAGGATGCCGGAGCTAGCTACAAACCTCCCCGGAAGTTTTGTCGGAATATCGTCAAAACCTCCATTACTCTTTGAGGTAAGCCCGTTGATATATCTAGTGACTAGAATGTTCGTATAGATCGTTTCTACGTTCATAAACGGTCGTTTGATTGAGTTTTGTGTTTGACATGCTTGAAGAACCAAGAATCATAAACCATGAAATTGATGTTGAAACTATGAACTAATGATGCCAAAATGATCTATGAACCTTAGAAAACATCTCTATATAGTTTCGTTGAAGTTCGATAACTAAAAAGGGTATTTCCGAAATTGGACCCGAACGAAGAAGAAGATGAACAGTGGCTGAAACACCACTGTCTGGATCGATCCTCTGGGAGTGATTTTTCATAGTATGGATCTATCTAGAGGGCTGGATCGATCCCCTGAAGTTCTGATCCGAAAATTTGTCTGAAAATGCTATTTTTGAGTTCTAAAATCCTATTTTTGATACCAATTGATTATGATCATTATAAAAATGATTTACCACAATAAAAATGATGTTTTTAACAAATAAAAATGTTATGTGATGCATGACGGTAAGTTCAGGTGTTAACACTCGAAGCTAGGCCGCTAATTGTTGTTGAATATTATGTTGATTGATGGTTATGGTAATAATTATTGGTTGATGATTATCATGATTAAATCTTGATTATTGTTCTGATTAAAATGGAAATTATGAATGATTAAATCATAATGAATATATTGATGATTGTGAAAATAATAGGTGTTGTTAAGGATATCTAGAAGACCTCTAAGATATAGCCATATTAATGTTGATTTGAAAGGTATCTAGAAGAACTCTAAGATATATCTATATAATTTAGGCCTTGCGGGTATGATGCCCAGTGGCTAGGGTTAAAACGTACGTACGGGATCCAAGAACCAAACTTGAGTACCTACTCGTTTGGGGGTACCACCCACCCAACAGTGAACACTACGCTGTCGGTTTTTGGTTGGCCTTAAGTGAAGGTAAGTTTAAGATTTCCAAAACCCTTTTATCTTAAACTAGACCTAGCTTAAGGATTATTAGGAGTACTCTGTATACTGGAATATAGTTTAATTAGTTAAACTAGAATTCATTTAAGGGTTGACAAATATTAAATTGATTGGCCTTAGACTAAAAATAGTTTAAGGATACTATTGAATGACAAATGATGAATATACATGTTGGATGATTGAATAATGAATGTTGAAAATTGAATATTGATTATTGAATATCTGAACCGAACATTATGTGCATGATATCAAATGATTCATTATGAATTGAGATTCAATTTATGTGGATGTTCGACGCATTAGATATGCTTACTCAGCTTTACCGCTGAGCGTGTAGTGTGTTTTATTTGCTACACGCAGGTCAATAGAATGATGTGACGTGATCTTGGAGGCAAACGGAGACGAGATAGTCGGAATGGATGTGATGGTTTTGAATTAAAGAACATAAATAAATTATGTTCGTAGTTATGATTTGTTAAGCTTCCGCAATATTAAAAAACTCTGTACTGTTTATGATATGAAAATATTATTGTGATAAATAAAAGTGTTTGAAATGTTTTAAATTTTACGATTACCAAGTTAATACTTTAGTCTGAAAGGGGCTGCAGACCTGGACGGATTGATACGTGCCCTATTGATTTTCGGGAAGGTGATCACAGACAAGCAACGTCAGCATTCATAGCTGATCTAGTCCTCCATCGCTATGTGGATGCTACCAGAAAACAGTACCCTCCTAATGACATACGGGACGACATGCGACAGAGTTTGGCATTGTAATGTCATACAGGAAAGCGCTACTCGTGAAACAGAAGGCATTGAACAAATAGTATGGAATCGATGAAGATTCCTACCAACAACTACCATCCATGTGCTATATGTTGGAGACAAAGAACCCTGGCTCTTCAATCCACTTGGCTAGGTCTGAGGATCATAGATTCAAATATCTGTTCTTCTCTCTAGCCCCTAGGAGACAAGCATGGGATCATTGTGCTCCAATTCTCGTCATTGATGGAACATTCATGAAATCTTATTACAAAGGAACATTATTAACCGCTTCCTGCCAGGATGCTAATAAACAACTTGTCCCCATTGGCTTTGGAATATGTGATGCAGAAGATTTGGACTCATGGATGTGGTTTCTTACTGAGTTGAAAACCTCCTTGACGGCGAGACGTGATCTTTATATTGTTCCTGACCGCCACGAAGGTATCCTTCATGCTGTTCAAAACATATTCCCCAACGCAGGACACAGGTTTTGTACTGAACACATTGCCCGAAACATGCGTGTGAAATTCAAAGGCCATAAAGAAGACCTAACCTGGAAGTTTAGGAAAGCTTCACGTGCAGCAACTGAGGTGGAGTGCGAGGAGTATCTTCAAATGCTAGATGAACAAGACCATCGGATACATGCATATCTCTCAAAAATTGGTCAAACAAGATGGGCACGCTGTAAAAGTGGGCCACACCGGTTCTCCGTAAAGACTTCTAATGTGGCAGAATCAATGAATAATGTCAACAACTCCGCACGTGAATACCCCATTTCCAAACTAGTCGATTTCATTCGCGAAAGGATGTAGAAATGGTTTCATGAACGCTTTCAAACAGCTTCGTCTACCACAACCATTCTACCAAAGAAGCTTGAGTCGGAGTTAATATCACTACTACGTGATGCATTTAGGATGAAGGTATACCTTATGATTTATCCATCAATACAGAACAAGCTTTTAAATTATCAATATGTACATCAATACACTTACAGAATTCCGTTACCCATTATATTACATTTAACATTCCTAATTCGTACACGTTAAGCCAGCCTGCCCATATGAGTTCGAGATTGTTGACAGGTGGACCCGAAGTTTTGTTGTCAACCTCAGAGATAAGACGTGTACATGCGGGGATTTTCAATTGGACTAGTTTGTATGTGTGCACGCTGTAGCAGCAATTGCATCCCGTCCAGGATTGTCATGTTACAATTTCATCTCACCTTATTACAAACGCGAATCATTGCTTGCCACCTACAGCGGTATTGTGCACCCTTTAGGAGATAAGTCTTCGTGGGACATCCCGTCTAGCGTCAAATCAATACTTTGCAGGCCCCCATCATGCAGCAAGCGCCCTCCTGGGAGGCCAAAGAAGAGGAGGCTCCCCTCCGTTGGTGAATTTCATTATGTGAAACATCGGAAAAAACAGGAGTGTACCCGCTGCTTGAAGACAGGACAACATATGAAAACATGCAAAAACCCAATACCAGCTTGACAATTCATTATTTTTTTATACATGCTTGCGTTGCAATCAAATTACCTCCCACACACAAATATTGAAAGAAATAACACATCCTTTTAGACGTTTCCGGATGGGTACACAATTCTTGTTAGGTGTCATTGTTTGAATCTTTAAAAACCCCAAACTCTTATAATTTACAGCTTCTTAAACCCCTTCTAATAAGACGTTGCAATGTTATAAAATAATGTCTATTAATGCCTCGAGCCCTGTCAATTTTTTCACATTATACGTTGCAAGTCTTCGCACTGTAAGTTATGCTCTTTAAAGGACAGTGACACATTTTCTATCCCCTGTGGGCATGTAAAAAGAAGTTTGGTTTTTATGCACTGCCAATAACATAACACGCCAAACCAAAAAACAACACATGAGACATCAACCACGACGCTACATCATGCTATCCATACCACCACATACGGTGGTAGTGTAAACAAAAAAAAAACTTACATGCAGCCAGGGATATGGAGGTTCTCAAACAAACAACAAAATAACTAGTCATACATACACTGCCCACGACTCCAGAAAATAATGCCAACCTAACAATGCCTATAGCCACATTCCGATCTAAGCATCAAAATGCGTCCAAAACACCACTCCACTATCTCGGAAAAATGAATTTGGACTGTACGTATCCCACCACAACAAACCAACTTCATTCTTACATACCAGAAATGTGCCAAAAACATAAACTTCCCAAATACAAAATCCAAAGTTCTAAAAGCGCTATACAAACCAGCCATACCAACATTTTAAGATTATCAGGCGATCTCTGCCTCTTATTACACTGAGTTGTATACAATCATCACATACCCCACACGCATATTGGCCCTGAGCCAATTACACACGATTTGTACCCCAAACTCACACTGCCCATAGCCCGCTCCCAAACTCACACTGCACACAAACCTTTATACTACAACTGTGCGAAAAACTCAAACTGCCTAACTTCACAATCACAAGTTCCATACATTTTCTTACAACCCCCACATATATATTACCCTTAAGTCAATTACACATGAAGAGTATCCCGAACATACATGTCCCATACCCCGACCCAAACTCATAGTGCTACCTATCCCACACTACCCACCCCAACAATTACAGTGTGGGTAGTGTGGAAAACTTACCGGATGCTCTCTCATATCAGTGCTACCTATCCCGAACATAAATATCCAATTACACTATCACGGTAGTGTAAAACATACCAGATGCTCTCTCATATCAGTATTTGAGCATGAGCATACGAATCTTGCCCAAACTCAAACTACCAAGCACCATACACTCAAAAAGGTACACCAAAGAAACCCCTATTGAAACATAAATCATCAATCAGAAAAGGAATAACCAATTACGCAACCACACATTGCAAAAAGTAAATTACCATCCACACTCCACAACTAAACGATGTTCGACCCAAATAAACTAAAAACAAATGATAGTGTGTGCCCCAAAATCATATCGAAAACCAGTCTTCTAAATGAAACAACACAAAATCCATACTCCTAGACACCAAATCCACGTAACACCAGTTAAATGTAAACATAAACACACGGAAAATGTAAACATAATCATACGTCTAATTTACTGACTACAGCCCCAACAAAAAAACCTCCCATCATAACATGCTGAGCAAAATCACACCATATGTCTATTTCTCTTTGGCCTTCTCTCTTCGCTCCTTACTGTAAACCATGAGCTCCGTAGTCATTTTAATCCGATACGCCTCCATGTCGCGTGAATGCACCTCACCGATGTCCCTGTACATCATCAGGTACTCCGCAAACTTCAGCATAAACATTCCACAGTTACACCTGCATTTTTAAAAATTACTGTTAACCCTTCTAACCATATGCCTAGTCTGAACAAATTAGAATATACCTTGAGTCCCTCTATTCAAAGTGTAAATTTACCACTTACCCGTCATTTTGCTGCGGACAACCATCAACGGCCTCGGTACAGAACTTTCGTTTGCCCATTGGCCCATCTGAGTGCTCGTCGTACACATTCAACATATCAAGGAGGACCGGCAGCAACTCTGTAATACATTGCACATACGAATTTAATGCCTTGCAAATCTTTCCTTTCCTTCCTTTTGAATCATATACCCGTATAGTCCTTCCTTCCACTTCTAGCACAAGTAAGACCCAGTGGTCACTGGTATTCAGGGGCATATACACGAAATCACACTCAGACCATGGCCTAGCATATTCGCGCGCCAATCCCTTAACCTTGCTTGTTAGGTTCAGATTATTGATGACATCCTCCTTCTTCGCCCTGCCAACATTTACCATTTCTTGGTGGTTATTCAACCCCTGTAAGAAATAAGGACTCGTTGTCGTGTACGTCTGCAGGAGATTGTACTGTCTGCCTTTCACTTCTAGAAAATACATTGCTATCTCAACATGCTGTATAACATTACATGAGGCACTAAAGTCAGTATTCACAAAAAACAAAAAACCCAATCTCTTATCCTTCACATCCATTAAACATATACTAATCACACTACCATTCTCCTCCCATTCATTCCCTCATTGCCCTGTCCTAAATAAAATCATCCTACATCCCCTATAACACCCCACCAACTCTATCTATCCCATTAAGGCCATCACACTTTCCATATACATGCTTACAAATTTGCTTAAAAAAATCTCCTCACTGTCACACTAACAGTAAAAATAAAAAACACAAACAAAACTTGACTGATTGTTAAAAAACACATAGCCATGCCACTTCAAAACCCACTCGGATGTCCCCAATTTTAAAACATCGCACATCTCCAAAGTCTTACGGTACATTATAAAAATAAACACCCATAAAAAAACTCGAAATAAATCATATCGTGCTGCATAACCACTCTGTGTTTGTAAACAGCTCATATATCCATGTCTTGTTCTCCACTGTAAAGCCATCAAGGACAATGGGATTGTTCATCATTTTCTCCACCTTACTTGTATACCTGCATGCCTTGTTCCCCCTTCCTTGTCTTTTCAGGATGCCCTCATTCAAAAATCCCCTAACCTTCTCTATTTCTTCATCTGCAGGCATCTCCTTTGGATCCTCGGAAAATGGCCCATAGCACACTGCCCCCCTATCACATTTAAGATGTTCCCTAGCATGCTCCATCTGCTCAATCTTGCGCTTCTTCTTATTTTGCTCAACCTTCGAGGGAGTATATCTCTCAGGATTCTTGTGAACCCTTTTAGGTCTTTCAATCTCCACACACGCACTGTTTGAATACGAACCCGTAGTGAACGCCTAATCAAATCATTGCATACCATTCGTATCAGGAGAAATTAAAAAAGATTTTGTAACAAACACATGGCCAGAAAGCTAACATTGCCAACATATCAAAGCACATTTTACGATAGTCACTAATTTTTTGCCCATTACAACTGATTCAAAAAATACTTACCACAATAGAATCATGAACACCTCTCACTCCCTGCTCCCCGCTGGCCACATTACTGCTAGTGAATATTCTATCGAAATCATCGTCACCGATGCTAACTCTCTGCGTGCCTTCATGGTCACGCTGCCCCATTCTACCCTTGTTCAAACCAGCAGACCCCTGTAAATATACAACGTTAAATATAAGGCCACACAAAAAGGGAAATGCTATTGAGGCTAAAACCGGCAGTAAGACCGTTTCACTGGAAGTGTGATTATAAGTCCTTTTCAGAATACTTGTACTTCTAAAAAGACTAACCCCAACTACAGCCTCAACGCGCATCGGTTCTTCCACATCATTTGGCATTGTGGGGTTTCCACATTCCAATTCAACCTCCGCACCATCTTCAATCACATTTCCTTTTTCCTCATCCACATCTTGACCCACAACACTTTCACAAGATACCAAAGGAACCTGCGAGTCAACACAATTACAATTCAAATACAATTGTATCAAATTACATATCCCTTCAGTGGATACTCAAAAAAAACCATATGGAATCAACACATTACACTCTTGGCATTCTGTAATGAAATTAGCATCAGTTCAGTTTGCCTGTCAATAAGCTCAAGGTCGCGAGGTGTTGAAGCACGGGCTTGTCATGTTTTCGTACTAAAGCCGTGTTTGTTTTTATGACAGGTTTTGATAATGCCAAACCGCCATGATCAATTCAAACATTGAATATACAAGGCGAAGAATGAAGAGATAAAAGAAGACCAAGAACGAAGACCATAGTCTTAGTGTCATTGAGTCGGTCTTCATTGTGATCAAGACCGACCCAATCTTTACACCTTGGCTCTTTAGGCTAAAATCTTTTATTGCATCTTATCACATCATAAAAATGTTTTTCAAACATGTTTAAATCATTAAAAACACTTGGTGTTCGCCCAAACCAAAAACCAAGCCATCCAGCGTTCGGGTTTCAGAAACCGACGTTCGGCTCTCGATTATCGGCATTGGTTTTTGGCGTCCGAACCAACCGAGTGGTTTTCAACCTTTTATTATTGGTTTTCACTCTTTGGCATGTTTAAACGGTTCTCTAACAAAAACACTTTGAAAACCATCTTTCGCTTTTGGTCGTTTGATAAAAATCATTCAAAACGGCGTAAACTTGGCTAGCCGTGGTTTTCACTCAAATGACGTGGTTTTTAAAGTGTCTCACTTGATTTCTTTACCAAATACATCAAATAAGTGTTTTAAACACTTGGTTTTTATCTTGGAGAACTTTTGATTTTTCGGTCGGTTTTTGCATTGGTCGGCTAGGCCGTGGCTAAGGCAAAAACCATTGGGTTTTTGGCTAACCATCCATCCAGCGATGGGAAGATCTTCCCATCGATGGGTAAGCAGTCCCTTAGCCAAACCAACTTCCAGAACCATGCCAAACAGCGATGGGAAGTTCTACCCATCGCTGTTAAAGCATCGGTGCAACATTACCACAAGGCAGAACAACCTTGCCTAGCGATGGTAAGCCTAAACCATCGATGGGAAGGGATGACGTACTGTTGTAGGTCATTTAAGGTTGATTCTTTCCTTGTTGGGAAGTCAACCTCCCACCCAGTGATGGGAAGCTTGTACCCATCGATGGGTAGGCAACCGTTGAATTCAAAACTGAAGGAAAATTGGCTTACTAGCGATGGGTAAGTCCCAAACATCGATGGGAAGCCAATATTCTACAGATCCCAAATCTTTTCAATCCCATAAATCAAGCTAATCACCCATTTAATGCATTGGTCCGTTGGAGCCTATTTTGGCCCAATAAAAAGGGGTGTTTAGGTCTGCTTTTCTCACCAATTCACTTCACAATATTCATACTTTCATTGCATTCAAATAACATCATTTTCCATAGCTTTCTAGAGCCAAGTTGTGTGAAGGTTGAGTTGTTCTTGAGCGTACTTAGTTTACTCAAATTCTACTCTATAAGAGAGTCTCGTTCTTGAGTGTTTTTGTGTTCTTAGACACGTTGAGAGAAAGTATTTCTCTCGGTTGATTCAAAGGAAGGGCTGTTTCCTTTGAAGGATTCGTTGAGGTTCTTGTGACTCGAACTCTCAAGTTGTAAGGGTTTGTTAATTAAGCACCGTTAAGCTTAACGAGATAGTAGTGTAGCTGGAGAGAGTCTCTCGGGAGGCTGGATTAGCCACAAGTTGTGGTGAACCAGGGTAAAATTTGGTGTGCCTCTTACTCTTTTCTTTACTTCTCTCTTAAATTTTTAATTCGTGCGATTTCTACGATCAAACGCTATTCACCCCCCTCTAGCGTTGGTCTATTATTGATGGTCCCAAAGTGGTGAGATACAAAGTCTAGAGGGGGGGTGGGGGTGAATAGACTTTGTTACAAATTTAAAAACTTTTTCGTTTCTTTTTGAAAACGTGAAAATGAGTGTTAATCTAGAGTTCTTGTGAACTTTAGATTGTGTGCGGAATTTGGTGGGTAGAGTGAGCAGTAATCAATATGGATGGGTTAGTTTTCAGAGTTATTATAATTGCAAGTAAGAATAAAGATAAAAGAGAGAGACACGCAAACTTTAATGAGGTTCGAAGGTGGGGTAATCCTTCTACGTCCTCAAAATCCACTATGTAGTTTGTTGTTGAATAATGAACCAACAATTACACTTGTGTGAATTTCTGCACGGTATATCTTCGCAAGGCCAATGTTGCTACTGCACTCGTGATGGATTTGTTGTTCCTTCGAAGGTCACGCTTCTTCAACAACTGCAAGGTCCGAACAATAGGACTTGCAAGATCAACTTGTAAGAAAGTTGACCTACCCCCTTTTAATCAAGAAGTTTGATCAAAAGTTATATCCTTCAACGTGGTGTGGTACTTTAGGCAAGGAAACCTTCAAGTGTTTACACTATAGCTCTTTGGAAGGAGGAGAAGTTTGCTTCTGGATAAGGAGTTTAGACATCTCTCTTTATCAAGCTCTTTGGGCTAACTGTGAATGAGATAGCTTTGTTGTTAGAGATTGCTTCGTTGTGTTGTTATGTTTTTCTATCTCATGGGTTGTGTTTTTTTCTCCAGTCTTCCAAGGATGCTATTTATAGCTGGATTGGATAATCTATCCGTTGAATCACAATAGACTATCCATTGCATTTGCTGGCTTCAATTTTGAATGAAGATTGTGATTTGAAGATTCCTCGTTGGAATGGGTGTTTAGACATACCCAATTGTTTGAGGAGGGATTCCTTTTTCCACAGAATCCGTCTTCTAGCTGTTGTTCAAGATTTCTGGACTGTAGCACTTTGCTCTGTTTGTCTTCTAGTGCTTGTTTAGGAATTCTGGACAAGCTCTTCAATTTTAGAGGTCCAAACTTTGTCTTCGAGTCATTTGTTCTTGAATTAGCATAATTATTGGTGGTCCCAAAGTGGTGAGATACAAAGTCTAGAGGGGGGGGGGGTGAATAGACTTTGTTACAGATTTAAAATCTTTTTCGTTTCTTTTGAAAACGTGAAAATAAGTGTTAATCTAGAGTTCTTGTGAACTTTAGATTGTGTGCGGAATTTGGTGGGTAGAGTGAGCAGTAATCAATATGGATGGGTTAGTTTTCACAGTTAATATAATTGCTAGTAAGAGTAAAGATAAAAGAGAGAGACACGCAAACTTTAACGAGGTTCGAAGGTGGGGTAACCCTTCTACGTCCTCAAAATCCACTATGTAGTTGGTTGTTGAATAATGAACCAACAATTACACTTGTGTGAATTTCTGCACGGTATATCTTCGCAAGACCAATGTTGCTACTGCACTCGTGCTGGCTTTGTTGTTCCTTTGAAGGTCACGCTTCTTCAACAACTGCAAGATCCGAACAATAGGACTTGCAAGATCAACTTGTAAGAAAGTTGACCAACCCCCTTTTTAATCAAGACGTTTGATCAAAAAGTTGTATCCTTCAACGTGGTGTGGTACTTGAGGCAAGGAAACCTTCAAGTGTTTACACTATAGCTCTTTGGAAGGAGGAGAAGTTTGCTTCTGGATAAGGAGTTTAGAAAATCTCTCTTTATCAAGCTTTTTGGGCTAACTGTGAATGAGATAGCTTTTCTGTTAGAGATTGCTTCGTTCAAAAATTCATACTTCCTCCAGTCTTCCAAGGATGCTATTTATAGCTGGATTGTATAATCTATCCGTTGAACCATAATAGACTATCTGTTGCATTTGCTGGCTTCAATTTTGAATGAAGATTGTGATTTGAAGATTCTTCGTTGCAGTGGGTGTTTAGACGTACCCAATTGATGAGAAGAGATTCCAATTTCCACAGAATACGTCTTCTAGCTGTTGTTCAAGAATTCTGAACTGTAGCACTTTACTCTGTTTGTCTTCTAGTGCTTGTTTAGGAATTCTGGACAGGCTCTTCAATTTTTAGAGGTCCAGACTTTGTCTTCGAGCTATTTGTTCTTGAATCAGCATAATTATCTTCAATCTAGCCGTTGAGAATCAAGAGATTGATTCTTCCTTACCAACGGGTAGAATTTCTTCATTCAGGACTTAGATAATTTTTCTAAGTATTTTCTCACTTGTCCGCTTTCTGAGAATTCCGGTTCTCAGTGAGTCTTCCGATTTTTAGCTGACAAATCCGGAGGAGTCATTCTGAGTCTTCCGGGTGAGAAATAGATACGCGCTAGTCTTCCGATTTGGATGACTTAGCCTTCAGCGGGTTGTAGCGAGACATCCGGTTCTTATGTAGTCTTCCGGATCTGAGGATTTTTGTTTACTTGAGAAATCCTTACTTGTCTCTGACATTTCCGAACAAGATATCCAATTTCCATATCATTGAATTTGATTAAGTCTTCAGGCATCAAAACGCTTAAAGAAATATCACAACTTTATTGGAAATCTCAAGAGCTCGGTTTTGACAATATTTCTAAAAAGAAAAATTACATTGAATATTTGGGGGAGGCCTAAAGTCCCTATTACATTCTAATTACATCATCATCAAAATCTATAATATTTTTCCCAACAATTTCTCCCTTTTTGATGATGACAAACAAGTGTTTAAGAGTTCCGGTCGCTGTACTGAGAACTAATTTTATAACTTTCTTTTAGTTTCTCATAATATACAGCTTGTTAACAAAAACTCTTAAGCAAGTACAATTCAAATTACAATAATTCCTAAACCAAGTCTTGTCTTGAGATTTTGTGATATCTTCCGCCATTGACCGTTTTCAGCTTCAGCAGATTCTGCTTGACGGAACGGTTGGCATTGCATTTGATAGATCTTTATTATCCAAAGTGGATAACCAAGATCTGGGAAGCAACACATCTCTCAAAAAAAAATAAAAACAGAAAATAAGAATAAAAAAAAGACGAAGAGAAGCGGAGGGAAAGGAGGCGGCAGTGGAAGAAAAGAAAGAGACAGAAGGGAAAGGTTTTGGAAAAGAGAATTGATTGTGAAAAAGAAAATAAAATAAAGATTTTAAAGATAAAAAAAAATTTTTAAAAGAAATTTTGAAAAAGAGTTCTTAAAGAAAATTGAGAACTCCTTAAGAGAAGGGAGCACAGACACCACCCAATAAAAAACTTGTAAGAAAATTGGGGGGACTGCTAAAAAAATATTTTAGAAAAAGTAAAGAAAGGAAAGGGGAGGGGAAAGAGATCAGGGTAAAAATAAAAAGAAAAATAGAGAGAGTGTTGTTCCAGAGAAAGTGTATGGTATAATCCTGAAAAATACGAGAATTACACCATAAACTTTCTCTACTGCCGAGAATTGCACCATAAACTTTGAATTACTTTCCTTCTCGCTAGGCTTTTCTCCATTGCCGTCTATGAGGGTGAGAAAGAGAAATTTCTCCATTGAGGATATTTTCTTGGTGTTTTTCTCAGACAGTGAACTTGAAGACTTTCATATTTTAGAGAGTTGTTTGTGATGGAAATGGATTGAGATATCTTGATTTAAATAGGGGAGGAGGAGGTTCACGGGTTCCATTAATTGGGTAGTTGAGACGGTGAGAGTAAAGGAGTTTCAACTTCCAAGAAGTTGAAAAGTAAAAGGAATCTTTTACCCGTTACCAATGGATTGAAATTGTTCCTATTTGAAAATCAGTTTCATTTGGTTTGAGAAACGTAACTGTTTTAGTTTGGCTAAGCCCAAAAGAGTGGCCCAAAAAGAAAAGAAAGCTATGTACTAAAGGGAAATTATTCCTATTGGGTTCTCAAGGCCCAAAATAAAACTATCATTTTTCATTCCCTATAGTTCTAACTTTTGTTCTACCAAACACCAAAATTGGAATTGAAGTTCACAATTCTAATTCCATAGTTTGAATTCCATGTACCAAACGGGACCTAAATTTATTTCTAAACTTCCCAATAGTATATTAAGATTTATTGGATATTTTTTTAGACAAGACTATATTTTCACATATTTGATTTGACTAGTATTTTGACTCGTGTCATGCATGGGTGGAACGAAATTGTTTTCGATTCTACGATATGGAATATTAAAACAACTTGATTTTTTATGGTATACACCATTTAAATTTCATATATATATATATATATATATATATATATA